TTTGATGGTCACTGTAGTGGCTATATTATTTTCTTACAGTTCTCTCTTTCTCTTATATTTAAAATAACCACACTACAGACAGACAAGCAACTGCTTTTATACGTTGTCATTAGCAACATCGCATGATCGCGTGGCTCCGCTTGTTTATTTTCCACATAAACCTTTCACAATAAAGCTGAAGATCCTGTTGAGATTTTTCTAAATAAAATGAATCACGTGAAAGAGTATGCAGTGTTTATGGATGAGAAGCAAAAAAGAGCCGTTAGGTGCAACAAAAATTAACGTTAGAACAGGCTTTTCTCTGCAGCACGCCGTGTAATAAATACTGAAAAAGAAAATGGCGGCCGTTTCAACTTATGTCTAAAAATGTATAGTGTCGTGCATCGGTCAAAACACTCGACTCCAGGTACACGACGCCCAGCTGAAAACACTTCACGCAAGTCGAGTTGCCCGAGATTCACAGAATTTACAGAAAATGTTACATTTTTGTGATTTATATCGTTGTCGGGACAATAAATGTCTTATATCAGAATATAAGATTTTGGTCACATCGCACAGCCCTAACAAAGACAAGATCTGATGGATGAGAACCAAAGTAATTCCTTAGTCACAAGGAGAGGCTCCACCTACTGTTGCGTCTCATAGCTCTCATAATTCAAACAGAAAGAATCGCTCACTTTCCACAAGAAGAACCCCCTGGACCATCACACAGGTCACCCAGCTTCCTAAAGAGGAAGGCTGGGGCAGTAGTTATGAGACACAGTCAGCAGGGCTGTGCAGAGGTGTTGGGGGGGCGGGTATTCAACGTTACAAAGGGGCTCATAGAACCAGGACGAATAACAACAACCCACATTCATCTAAAAATCTAATATGCAATCACATCAGACTATATCACTGTCATCAGGTGGGGACAATGCAAAGCAAACATACCCTATGTGTGACCTGGTGGGTACAATGTTGTTGTTGAGGGGTTTCTGCTGCTCCTGCTGCTGATAGTGCTGGAGGGCAGGGCTGATCTGATGTCTACAGGAGAGATGGTAGCTGATAAAACAAGTGTTATGAGTTAATAATAAAATGCAAAGATTGGTGACAGTGCTTGGAACCATAAGGCAACAAAATTGAGAAGTAAACTAGGCTCTGCCTGTGAATCACTCTTTGCCTCTCTTCCTCCTTCCATCTCCTCATCTCAGCTATCACTCTCCACTTGCTGTCCATCTGAGAACAAGGCACAATTTGCTATTGCGTTAAACTATTATTTAATTATCCACACTTAACAACTCTTACACCTAATCCATACTGAAGCAATGATAGAAAATGGTATAGAAACAGCCTTACAAGGCATGTCTGGACTGTGTTAAGTAATAATTAAAAAAAAAAATCTATACATTGGAAACACACACACACACACACACACACAGTGACATTTTCTACCTTCTCCAGAATACTGTATATACTATGACCACAAGTTTGCATCATGACGCTGATCCAGAATACTACTTATTCCTAGCGCTATAATAATAAAGTAATAAGAATATAAAAAATATATAATAAATATAAAATATTGCATGTTTGACTATTCACTCTGTGTAGACAGGTTTACTAAATGTTTAAACTGTAGAGATAATTTTGCTGCTGTAAAATCAGCATTTTGTTATATTTGAAATATAAATCTAATATAATACTATTTCTTTAAAATACAATGTGTGTTTTTAATATCATAATGATAATAATCCATAATTATTTGGATATGCATATTAGATAGTTGTTAGTGAAATATAAGCCCT